ACGCCCCCTACTGCTAATTGGCTCACTCTCTCTCCTCCCCATCATGAGTGGACACGCCCCCTACTGTTTATTGGCTCACTCTCTCTCCATCATGAGTGGACACGCCCCCTACTGCCGATTGGCTCACTCTCTCTCCCCCATCATGAGTGGACACGCCCCCTACTGCCGATTGGCTCACTCTCTCTCCTCCCCATCATGAGTGGACACGCCCCCTACTGCTGATTGGCTCACTCTCTCTCCTCCCCTATCATGAGTGGACACGCCCCCTACTGCTGATTGGCTCACTCTCTCCTCCCCATCATGAGTGGACACACCCCCTACTGCCGATTGGCTCACTCTCTCTCCTCCCCCATCATGAGTGGACACGCCCCCTACTGCTGATTGGGTCACTCTCTCTCCTCCCCATCATGAGTGGACACGCCCCCTACTGCCGATTGGCTCTCTCTCTCTTCCCCCATCATGAGTGGACACGCCCCCTACTGCCGATTGGCTTACTCTCTTCTCCCCATCATGAGTGGACACACCCCCTACTGCCGATTGGCTCACTCTCTTCTCCCCATCATGAGTGGACACGCCCCCTACTGTTGATTGGCTCACTCTCTCCTCCCCATCATGAGTGGACACACCCCCTACTGCCGATTGGCTCACTCTCTCCTCCCCATCATGAGTGGACACACCCCCTACTGCCGATTGGCTCACTCTCTCTCCTCCCCATCATGAGTGGACACGCCCCCTACTGTTGATTGGCTCACTCTCTCCTCCCCATCGTGAGTGGACACACCCCCTACTGCCGATTGGCTCACTCTCTTCTCCCCATCATGAGTGGACACGCCCCCTACTGTTGATTGGCTCACTCTCTCCTCCCCATCATGAGTGGACACACCCCCTACTGCCGATTGGCTCTCTCTCCCCTCCCCATCATGAGTGGACACGCCCCCTACTGCCGATTGGCTCTCTCTCCCCTCCCCATCATGAGTGGACACGCCCCCTACTGTTTATTGGCTCACTCTCTCTCCATCATGAGTGGACACGCCCCCTACTGCCGATTGGCTCACTCTCTCTCCCCCATCATGAGTGGACACGCCCCCTACTGCCGATTGGCTCACTCTCTCTCCTCCCCATCATGAGTGGACACGCCCCCTACTGCTGATTGGCTCACTCTCTCTCCTCCCCTATCATGAGTGGACACGCCCCCTACTGCTGATTGGCTCACTCTCTCCTCCCCATCATGAGTGGACACACCCCCTACTGCCGATTGGCTCACTCTCTCTCCTCCCCCATCATGAGTGGACACGCCCCCTACTGCTGATTGGGTCACTCTCTCTCCTCCCCATCATGAGTGGACACGCCCCCTACTGCCGATTGGCTCTCTCTCTCTTCCCCCATCATGAGTGGACACGCCCCCTACTGCCGATTGGCTTACTCTCTTCTCCCCATCATGAGTGGACACACCCCCTACTGCCGATTGGCTCACTCTCTTCTCCCCATCATGAGTGGACACGCCCCCTACTGTTGATTGGCTCACTCTCTCCTCCCCATCATGAGTGGACACACCCCCTACTGCCGATTGGCTCACTCTCTCCTCCCCATCATGAGTGGACACACCCCCTACTGCCGATTGGCTCACTCTCTCTCCTCCCCATCATGAGTGGACACGCCCCCTACTGCCGATTGGCTGCTCGGTCCGATCCACTTTCAACAGCGTTTCTCAGACATTGCTTACCGCATCTTGAAGATGTAACTGTTGTTTTTGTTATCGGTTATATGTGGTTTTAATGGTCATGTGGTCTGAATTCAGTGGGTAATAAGAATGACGACCCCGCCTCTAAAGTGGTGGAGACCAATGACGCGCAGAAGTTTGCTGAGCAGATGGGCATCCGACTGTTCGAGACCAGCGCCAAGGAGAACGTCAACGTGGAGGATGTACGTTTTCAAACATATCTCTACATCCATGTGAATATGATCAGTTACAAGCATCCTTTTGTACCTAAAAAGTTTAATGCAACACTGTAGCCTTAAGAAAAAACTACATTTGGATGGATTCTGATTGGCTGTCATTGTTTTTATCGTTCATCAACTTCACTCTTGAATGTGATTCCAATGATATTGTCTAGTCTGGTCCTTTGTTTCTTATAATCAGGGTTTGAAATTAACTTTGGCTACAAAATGTTTAAGTTACCGGCCATTCAGAACTTAAGAAAAAAGAAGAAATTAACCAGATTAACTACGTCACAGCTATATATGAAGAGTTTGGTTCCAAAACGCAATAAATCCATTTAGATTAATTTGAGTAAAAATGTGTTTTCTTTACCAAGAAAGTGGAAAGATGAAAACCACTATTTTCTGTTTCAAACTTTCACATAGCATTTGTAGGTCATAATAAAAAAAAATCCAGGTTTTGATTTTCAAAGATTTATTATAAAAACGGGTTATTTTTTCCCCCAAAATGCAATAAATCCATTAAAAAATAAAATCAAAATGCAATTAATCCATTGAATCAATATAAAAGTTTTTTTTTCATATTGAAACTGTTGAAAATACACAACAACGTAAGTTTATTAGTATAATATTTTTATTAAGAACTGTAAAGAAGATTGAAAACATTTGTCCTCCTCCCGAGTGCCTCATCTTCTTAATCTCCTCACGTAAATTATTCGATGCCTTACGTTTCTCACCCACCGCAGAAACAACCACAGGTTCATCAATGCCGTCAAAATTATTCATTTTTTTGTTTGTTTGTTGATCGAAAAGTACAAAATAGATCAGAAAAACTAGGAAGCCGGGTGTATTTAAGGCGCTGCCGTTACTGTTTACATTGCGTGGAATGCTGCGTTGTGATTGGTTGAGAGCGGATATATCGCAGAGAAGGGAGACTGGAGTTTGTCGCGGTTTGGAAAGAAAGGGAGAAAACATGACAGAATAACACGGCGGATATCGCATTTTACTTAAAATTAAACATTGACTTTTCAATACCAACCAGATACAATACTGATTTTTGCAGTAACTACTTTTTTTTTAAATGGCGTTTATCGCGTTTTGGAACCAAACTCTTCATATATATATTATACAATTTGGATTTCATACATTCAAAATCCTGTCATCCAGCATCTCCTCGCTTCCTTTCATCCTTTTCACCAAATATGTGTTTTAGGCAGATCAAATCAGTCTAAAGAACATAAAAACAAATGTCGGATGTTGGATAATAATGTGTTTTCTGTTCCCCAAACGCTTATTAATCTTCACTATCGCTTCAGTGCAAATGAACAAGTGCGCCGTTGTGTGTTGTGTAGTGACGAGTGTGTGCAAGTAAGCAGAAATTCTGCGCAATACACTGTATTTAATACATCATGATGACTCAGATTTGGATTATACACTAATTTCCCAGCAAGTTAAACGCCGAATTGTCTGGTGATTGACAACGTTGTATTTGTAGCCACATCTGGCGGGTGTTAATATCAAACCCTGGCCGTCACTCTTCTTCAGATCCGTCCGTACGTCTGCTCTTCTTTCTCCCAGACGTTTACATGTTTGAGCGCTTCGTGAGACGTGCATCCAGCGCATGCTAACTCAGATACAGTTCTCCCACACACACATCAGATTCGGCTTATACACGAACACGAACTGACGAGTGACCCGCGATCGGGTGTTAATATCAAACCTAACGTATAATCTAATGTTCAGAAATGCCTTGTTTTCATTGATTGGATCTGACGAATGTTCTGTGTGTGTTCATGTCAGATGTTCAACTGCGTCACTGAGCTCGTCCTGAAGACCCGGAAGGAGTCGGTGGCCAAACAGCAGCAGCAACAGCAGAGCGAAGTGGTCAAACTGAGTAAGAGCAGCAAACGCAAGAAGAAGTGCTGCTAATGGACACACACACACACACACACACACTTAGACAAAACGCCACTGAACTGACAGAGAACTTAACATACTTCAACCAGAGACTAGCAATGAGAGATATATCTAGAGATTTACTAATGACGAGCCGCTTGGACTTCGGGAGGCAAACAAACTCCGATGTTTTAGCAGGAGAATTTTAAAATGGAGAATGAAATGTTTTCTTCATCGTCCACGTTTCACGCGGCTGTGGGATCAAACCAATGAGGCCGAGCGTGAGTGTTGATGTGGCCAATCAGGACGTCGGAGAACATCACGTGTTTTCACGCTCTTGTTATCGACGGACACTTTATGGACCAAACATGTGCGGATCTGCCAACTAAGACACTCGGTTTGCCTTTTGCTTTCTCTTTTGTCTTTCGTTTTTGTAAAATTGTATTTTTTTACTAACAAATCATACAATCAAACACACAGTAGCTTTTAGGGAATCTCATTGGAAGCTCGTTTTCGCCACAAAATAATAAAAAATAAATAATAATAATGGTAATTGCAACTTTGTCTTGGACTGACTTGGAATTGACAGTTTATGAAAAGAGTGTATATATATGTATATATAAAAAAGTCAGAATTGCGAGTTCAAATAAATGGCAGAATTATCTATAAAAAAAAGCTGTAATATAAATAATCTGTAAAAAAACAACAGAAGTGCTTTTTTTTTTCTCAATTGCAAGTTTATAATAAAAAAGGTCAGAATTGTGAGATATAAACTCATTTTTTAAAAAAAATTTTTATCTCAATTCTGAGAAAAAAAAGTTAGAATTGCGAGTTTATATAAATGGCAGAATTATCAATAAAAAAGTCGGAATTGCAAAATATAAACTCAGTTGCAAGAAAAACTAAAAAAAAAAAACTCAATTGTTTATATCTCACACTTCTAAGAAAAAAGTCAGAATAATCTGTAAAAAAAATTGAATTACGGTTGCAAGAAAAAAAGTCAGAATTGTGAGTTTATATTAAAAAGGTCAGAATTATCTATAAAAAAGTCAGAATTGTGAGATATAAACAGAAAAAAATACTTTTTTTATAGATAATTCTGACCTTTTTTAATATAAACTCACAATTCTGACTTTTTTGCAACTGCTATTCAGATTTTTTTCTCTCACTTGTTTATATCTCACAATTCTGAGAAAAAAATTCAGAATTGCAAGTTTATATAAAAAAATAATTTTAAAGAAGAATCTGTAAAAAAATTTTTTATTACGGTTGCAAGAAGAAAAAGTCAGAATTGTGAGTTTATATTAAAAAGGTCAGAATCATCTATAAAAAAGTCAGAATTGTGAGATATAAACAGAAAAAAATACTTTTTTTATAGATAATTCTGACCTTTTTTAATATAAACTCACAATTCTGACTTTTTTGCAACTGCTATTCAGATTTTTTTCTCTCACTTGTTTATATCTCACAATTCTGAGAAAAAAATTCAGAATTGCAAGTTTATATAAAAAAATAATTTTAAAGAAGAATCTGTAAAAAAAATTTTTATCACGGTTGCAAGAAGAAAAAGTCAGAATTGTGAGTTTATATTAAAAAGGTCAGAATCATCTATAAAAAAGTATTTTTTCTGTTTATATCTCACAATTCTGACTTTTTTTATAGATAATTCTGACCTTTTTTTAATACAAACTCACAATTCTGACTTTTTTTTGCAGCCGCAATTCAGATTTTTTTCTCTCACTTGTTTATATCTCACAATTCTGAGAAAAAAATCAGAATTGCAAGTTTATATAAAAAAATAATTGTAAAGAATTATCTTTAAAAAAAAAAAAGAAAAAAAGTCAGAATTGTGAGATAAGATAATACCCACTTAACTTTTACAAAAACATTTTTTTGTAACCCTGTGGCGGAAACGAGCTTCCACAGAAACTGGTGCCATTGCCTGAACGTGATCCGGCGAGGAAATGCTGAATAATCATCAGAGAAACACACGTTCTGTCTTCATTTACGTCAAACCGTTCCCTTCCTTCTGTGGGTCACGAGTGTTTCGCTCAGCAGACGAGCAGCGGGAACATTCTGCCAAACGTCTCCTTCAGGGTTTGGAAGGACATGAGGGCCATTAAATGATCTTTTTTTTTTTTTAAAGGTTGAATTCATGCTTTTCTTCCACAGCTGGTCTTTGTTCTTTAAGTCTCTGAACGTGAAGAACAGTGATCATGTGACTGTAACCAGATGTATTTATTACGAAGATCTGAAAATATCACAACCTGATGATTGAAATGTGTTTTTGCTTCAGTTTTGCACAGATTGTCGGAGCGACTGATTCTTGCTTGTGGAATCTGTAAAAAAATAATAATTTCTGTTGCTATCATTGAAGGTCTGCTCTGTATGATGCGGTGAACACGCATGTCTGCATGTGGACACTGACACAGGCGTATGTGTAATGATCTGGTGTACACTGGAAAAGATGAAATATTAATCATATCCATTGTCCCGACACAATAATAAACATTTTAAAAGAACAAACTGCTTGACTTGTCGTTTCACCACAAGGTGTCGCTCTAACTCTGCATTATGATTTATTCAGATCTACAGTTTCATATAATTATTATTGACATGGTTTTTGTTTTTGGATAAGCTGAAATATTATATTCATGTGAATATAGACCATCACATCAAGATTGTTGGCATCCTCATGTACATGTAAAACCTTGGAATAATTATGTTTTTGTAAGAGTCTTTTCTGCTCATCAAGACTGCGTTTATTTGATTAAAAATACAGTAAAAATTGTGAAATATTATTCTAATGTAAATCAGCTGTTTTCTATGTGAATATACAGTAAAGTGTAATTTATTCCTGTGTATTTCCAGCATCATTACTCCAGTCTTCAGTGTCACATGATCCTTCAGAAATCACTCTAATATCTGATGCTCAAGACACATTTATGATTATTATATATTCAGATTTTTGTGGAAATCTTGATACACTACCATTCAAAAGATTGGGGTATGGTTAAAAAAATACTAAATTAATACTTTTATTCATCAAGGATGCATTAAACTGATCAAAAGTGACATTAAAGACATTTATAATGTTACAAAAGATTATATTTCAAAATAAATGCTGTTTAGAACTTTATATTCATCAAAGAATCCTGAAAAAAATGTTTACAAAAATATACAGCAGCTCTTTTTACTGTATTTTGATCATATAAATTCAGACATAATAAACTTGAGACTTCTTTCAACAAAAACAAAGTACAGGATGTAATATGTGTTTTTCTTTTATAGTAATTAACTCTTGCTCATGGTATCTAATGTGACTTTTTTAATGTAGTGAGTTTTCTTTTTGAGAGTCGTTTAAGTGAGCAAATGCTTATGTGGACCCTGTCGGTTCAGGCCAAACTAATTACATTAATACATTTCTATTCGTTCATTCAACAGTATTTCTAGTTTTATCTCATCCATGCTGACAAGTAATTAAATAATTTTAGTAAATTAAATAATTTGTTAGCACTTACAATAAGGTTCATTAATTAACATGAATGCATTGACTAACATGAACTAACCATGAGCAATACATTTGTTACTGTGTTGTTTAATCTTTAATGTTAGTTAATTAAAATACAGCTGTTCACAGTGCATTAACTAATGTTAACAAGATTTTAATAAAGTATTAGGAAATGTTGAGATTAACAAAGATTAATAAGTGCAGTTCATGCTAACTAATGTATAGTACTTAATGAGCCTTATTGTAAAGTGTTACCAATAATGTTAGTAGCACAGCCAATCAGAAGCCAAGGGTCAACCATAGCGCATAGTAAGTCATTTTTCACGAGACGGACAGATTTAAAGTCCCCCTGTCAATCATTTCATCCCTTAAAACTCAGCAAAATGACATATTTAAAAGTTTTTTTCTTGAAAAATGCCTTAAGATAGCTTGGATGTAACTCGACACCCTCGCCTCATTTAGTATGCGCGGTTCTATGAATATGCAAATGAGCCCCGCCTCCACTCACTCACTCAGCTCAGAGATCCACTGGTTGGCGATCACACGTTGATCTGATTGGTTACAAGGTCGTTTGTGACGTCAGAAACACCAGCGATTTCAAACCGTGTTTTTGAGACTGTCTTTGGTTCACTGCAGTTTTAAGGAGGAAATACTCAGCAATGCTGTCGACTTATGAACTTACACATGGTGTGTCTTAAAGCGGATTAATAACACCACATAGACACATAAACAACATTAAAAGCTGGATTTTCACCACAGATTTATGTATTTGAATTGCATTTAAAATTTCCATCCGTTTGGATCACGTAAACTAATGAACTTAATGTGATGCATATTTTTATTATTAATTATTATAGTGAAACAGGTCAGATTTCTGTAACTGCTGATGAACTGAATGTGTTTTAAACGCACAATAATCAGGTCGTTTATATATTTCAATCTCATGCATTTTAATTAATTGAATATTGCTATTGCTATTTTTAAACATGATCATACTTTTGAACAGAATAAAGGTAGTTTTCAAATTCACAATGAACAGATTTCTAAGCAATCTGAATAAATCTGATTATACAATCATACAGATGCAAATATGGCATTTTTTTTTAAATGCATAAATGCAATTTATTTATGCATGACTGTCAAATATGCATCACATTCAGTTTATTAGTTTATGTGTGTGATCCAAATGCATGGGAATTTTATGTGCAATAATCTCGTGAAACTGTTTTACAGTGAACTGAGAATTGGGATTTATGGGTGAACTGTTCCTTTAAATGATTATATTTGATCTCCACAATCCTGATTATAGATTAATTTGTGTATTCTGGGTTTCCTGACACATGCTCGTCTCATGCTTTTTAATTAATTGAATATTGTATCTTGTATTTTATATTTTTGTATTTTAAACATGAATCATGATCATACTTTTTAACAGAATAAATGTAGTTTTCAAAAGATTTCTAAGCAATTTGAATAAAATCTGATCAATCATACAGATGATTATTTTTTAAATGCATAAATGCAATTAATTTATGCATGACTGAGAAATATGCATCACATTCAGTTTATTAGTGTATGTGTGTGATCCAAATGCATGGGAATTTTATGTGCAATAATAAAGTTTTACAGTGTTTTTGTGGTCAAGCTTTTGCTAACCATCTTTGTTTTTGTGCTCCAAAATACCATAAGGGTGAGAATAGGGATTTATGGATGAA